GCTCCGCCCTGCGACGCGATTCGGTGCGGCTGAGGAGGCGGCGCGTGTGCCAGAGCCGCGGACCCCCTGGCTCGGTCGGCTCCCGCCGCATGCCCGTGAGGCAGACGAGCGACCCGAGCAAGTCGGGCTGCGGAGAAGAGCCGACGCGGCAGAGCATCCCCACGACGAGGCTTCGCCCAGCGGGCCCGCAGCTGCGAAGCAAGCCGGGCGCGCTGCGCGCCTCGCGCCGCTCCCGCCGCGCCGCCCGCCGCGCAGCTGCAACCTGCTCCGCGGCAGCGTCGTCCGCGAGGAGGGCGAGGTTGTGCGGCCGCACCGCCAGCGGCAGCGGCGCCGCCCCGCCGCCGCCGCAGAAGAGCCACACCGGGTACCGGCCGCCGTTCCGGGTGCCGTCGACGACGCCGCAGCAGCCGTTCAGCTCCGGCCGGCCGGCGAGACCTCGCAGCGCGACGGCGCGGCCGGGCGGCAGCAGCACCGCGTCGGTGAGCCAGCGCATGGCGCACGAGCGCGCCGCCTCCGAGCAGCAGCTCGCCAGCTCATCGGAGAGCGAGTCGCAGCTCGGCACGCCAGAGGTGTGGCCAGCGGTGTGGCCGCCAGAGGTGTGGCCGCCGCCGCCGCCGCTCCCCGCAGGCAGCGCCTCGACGAGCGCGTCAAAGGCTGCCTCCACCTCGGCAGCTGCCGCCTCCGCCCTCGGCCCTCCACCCTCCGAGAGCGGGCCCGGCGGCACGGCGCGGAAGGCGCCCATCGCAGCCCGCAAGTCCGCCGCTTGCGCGCGCATCGCCGCGACGTACTCCCCTGGGCCGCCGCCCACGCCGTTGCCGCAGCTGGCAGAGAGAGGCTGCCAGGCGGCGGCGAGCGGTCGCCCCTCGCCGGGAGAGCGCTGGATGATGCGCAGCGCAGACTCGAGCCGCGACGGGTCGGCGCACACCCAGCGCCGCTGCACCATGTCCCACCGCGTGTGGCACGCGCCCGGCGAAGTGAGCAGCCACAGCACGCGCGGCTGTGCCGAGGCGAGGCGGACGAGGAGGGAGAGAGCGAGGCCAGGCAACCGCATCAGCCGCCGGTCCTCGTCGTGCCTGCACACGAGCTCGACCAGCCGGCAGACGAGAGACGGAAAGTGGGGCGACGCACACAGCAGGCGCGTCGCCCCCGCGCCGCCGTTGGACGTGCCGTCCGCGACGAGAGCCAGCAGCGAGAGCGCGTGGTGCGTCAGCAGCACGTAGCATGCGCCCGACTGGGGAGGGGAGAGCCGCTCGCCGCCGCCGCCACCTTCGACCGCTGAGGCGGCCCCGGCGGCGCCGTCCGGGTCGTCCCAGTCGCCAGTGAAGCGCCACCGCAGCCTCGGGTGGCCGTGCACCTCGCCGAGCCCTCCGGGCAGCCCTCCCGTGGTCAGAGTCCCGTCGGAGAGGCGCGGCGTGTGCGCGAGAAGCGCGCAGAGGGACGAGCAGGAGGCGGGCTGGGAGAGGAGCGCGCGCCGCGCCATGGACATGGCGCTGGACGGCTCCAGCGCCGCCGCCGATGGCGGCGACAGGAAGGAGAGGGGAGAGCGGGGTTTTGCGAATGACGAGAGCCCACACACGCCAACCACCAGCCGAGCCAACGGCGGCGGCAAGCCGAGCGGCGTGAGGCACCTCTGCTCGCCTTCGGGCACGCGCCGCCGGGCGCACCGCGAGAGTCTGGACACGAACTCGCTCACTGGCAGCGGCAGCGGCATTTCGGCGCAGCAGATCAGACTGACGAAATCTGCGGGCCGCGGAGCCGACGGCCACGAAGGATGCGCCGCCGGGCGCAGCACGGCGGCACTCGCCCGGACGAAGCGCGCCTCGTCCGAGGGCGAGTAGACGAGCCGTCCGTCGTCGAGACGGACCTGATACGCAGCAAACATGCCGCGCGCGAAGCCTTCCTCACGATAGAAGATGGACGCGATGACGCCCGGCTGCCAGCGGTCCTCGAAGGAGCGCGTGCAAATGCAGCACTCCACCCGATCGCCCGGGCCGAATCGGAGGCGCGTGCCTGCCGGAACCATGATGCCTGCCGAAGTCGATCCGGCGACGAGCGCTTGGTGGACTTTGGTGGACTGACTGGCGCCTGGCGAAGAAAAGAATTTTACAAGCCCTCCCACGACACCGGGTACGGGACTGGCACTGCAAAGGCGACGGCTTAGAAGCCGTCGCCCTCACAGATGCCGTCCTCCTCACAGAAGGCGTCGTCGGAATGGTAGTCAGGCGGATGGTCGAATCCGCGAGCACCGTGGTGCTCGCCGAGAGGGAAAACACACACCCAACACACGCACACACATACCCCCTGAAATATTACTACCTGCATCATGTTTATATGTACGATGTTTTCAAACACATCTCCGATCGGCATCACCTGAATGGGGTCATCGCTCTCAACCGAGTGCCAGGTGGACGGGAGCTCCCTTCTCCATGTACCGTTCGGGGCTGTGTGGCGAAGCTGCCACCACGAGGAGCTAGATGAGCTCTCGGCGCGTCATCGTTTTGTTTTGTCCTTGAGGCACCGCCCAGCGTTTGCGCCCTTCTACCCGCTATGCGAAATTTCTTGTAGGTGCTGCTTCGCAAGAAGGCTGCCCTGAAAGCCGCCGAGCGCCCAGCGACCGCAACTGTGGGGGCGAAGTCGTTCGGCCCGTGAGGTGACGCCCACGCCCTGACCAGCGGGGTGAGCCGTGGACCCCGGCGTTGCGCGAGGTATGTACGCGGGGGGTTCGGTCCCTCGGCGCCGCGCTCTCAGTGGGAATGGGAGCCGATCTCTCGTCACACCGCAAGGGCTGGCTGGCGCCCAGGCTCGAGGCTGGCGCCACCGGCGCCGGGGCGTCGTTTTGTGATGATATGTGATGTCGTGTCTGTTCGTGAGCACGCGGTACGGTACCGCTATCGTTAGGCTACGGCACGCAATATCTATCTCATATCTTAAGAACTCCGTATCAAGTATTTTGCTCCGAAGTGTATCATATCGTGTTTTTGTATTTTGAGGATGAGAGGTCTCGCCAAGATCACGTAACCCTTTTCACATAGTCCTCATCACCAAAATAAGAGCCTCAGCACGAGATCTCAGCGTTGCAACACGGGGTGGGCTGGCGGTCTAGAAGTCGGGCAGGCCGTAGACGGTGCCCCAGGTGGCGTGGGTGACGGCCTCCTGCGCGAGGAAGCCAGCGGCGGCGATCATGGCGAGGCGGGCGTGGGCGAGCTCCTTCTCCTGCATGAGCTTGAACTCGTCGGCGGACAGGTCCTTGGAGAAGCCGAGCGGGTCGAAGCCCAGGTCGCCCGGGGTGTAGCCCGGCCGCAGCGCCGTCTCCGCCTTGAGCTTCTCGCCGTCGAGCTCACGGAAGGCGATGTTGATGCGCGCCGCCTCGGCGGCGGCGATGCCGCCGCCCATCACCACCCAGAGCCAGACCGGCAGCTGGGGGATCTGGTCGATAGCCGGGCCGCCGTCGCCCGAGAAGAGCGGGTGGAACTTCTCCTGCACGAGGAAGCCGAGCGACGCGAGCATGCCGACGCGGCCGTGCGTGAGCTCGGCCTCGCGGTAGCGGTTGACCTCGAGCTCGGACTTGCCCTCGAGGAAGCCGGCCGGGTCCCAGTTCAGCTCGGAGCCGCCGAGCGCGTTGAAGTTGCCGGGCAGGCCGTACGCGAAGGCCGGGGCCTTCTTGGGCGCCGACGCCTTGGCGCCGAAGAGCATGGTCGGCTGGACGCGCGACGGGACCTGCGGACGAGAGGGCGGGCGGCGTCGGCGGGGCAGCGCGCGGGCGGGGGAGGTGGGCCGGGCGCGCGCCGACGCAACGCCGTGGAAGGAGGTGGACTGCAGCGAGAGGGAGAGCATGCTTGCGGTTTTCGGAAGTGTCCGAGCGCCTTCCCGAATCTAGGCGCTGATGCGGGCACGTGACGGGAGGTTTGCGCGACTCTTCCGCGAAACGGAGAAGGGAGAAGGCTAGGGTGCGCTTCTGAGCTCCCCGGCCCTGGATGTGCGGTTACTGATTGCACTCCAAGTGCTCCAAGTGCTAGAAGGCTAGTCTACCTCGGATTCCGGCGGCCCCTCGTTGGGACCGGTCATTTCATATTGGACCGGTCACTTGAGCGGTCACCTTCCGACCGACTCGAAGCGGTCGTTTTCCGAAAGAGGCTCAGGGGGGATCAGCCTTTGAATCCCCCCAACCGGTCATTTCCCGACGCCCACGGTGGCGACGCGGTCACCTTCCGATCAAAAAAGGCGGTAGTGATCTGATCACCCGAATACCACGTTCGGATCGCTCCTCATCGCAAACCCTGTCAGCAGTTCACCCTCGGGTGTGTTCGTAAGAGCTACATACACTGGAAAAAACGTTACAAAAGTCAACGTCGCAAGGAAAGCAGCGTCGATACCAAGCAGCGTCGATACCAAGCAGCGTCGATACCCAATGGCGCGAATACCGCGGCCAGGCGGACATCGTCCTCGATAGCTTCGATGGAAAAGTGCCTCTCCATGATCTCATGACCCTGCTAGTCAGGCGGCCAACGGTGTACGACCGAGCGTTGAAAGTACACGGCGTGGCGTAAGCTCGCGGCGTGCTCGGCAGCGTGTTATCATTACATCAAATACCCCGCCCGAGAAGTGGTACCCAGATGGCGACGAGGCGGAAAAAACAATCGAGGCGGAATTTGTGGGTGAGATGTTGCGCGACATCATCACATCGTCGGGAGGTGTGACGCGTTTTTTGAGTAGAACTAAAGCGGAGCGAGATCAGAGGTGGTGATAAAATTTCAACACAACAACTGTGTGAGCTCTGTGTCTTGATTTGCCAAGAATAAAGAAAGAAAGAAAACAGACAACCCAAGGGAGGGATGGGAGGACGGCACGCCGCCACCACACAGGGATTTTAAGGAGAGGAGTGTGATGCGCTAGCCGTCGCCCACCCTAGGGAGTCTGCCTCTTCCTATCTCTTTTCGCAGTCTCTCGCCGATTCTCGCTGCAACCTTCATGCCACCTCGCGGCCGTCCCACTCTCGTCGTTCTCTCCCTTGTCACTTCCTCCTCTGTCGCGTCATTCTCTTCTGTCTCGTCCTGCGGCGCCGCCGCCTGCCGTTCCCTTGTTCTCTCGGCTTCTTTCGCCTTTCGGCGCAGCTCCGCCCTCCTCGCTGCATATCCTGGCCCCTCGAGTCTATCGAGCTCCCCTCGCGCAAGGACCACATTTCTGACTCCCATTCCGATCATTTGCCTCCAAGTCATGTCGTTGCTCAGGTCCACTCTCTCTTCGAACACTCGTGCCTCTACGGATGATGCCGGCGCTGGGGTCCCCTTCGGATGCATCGTGACATCTGACAACTGAATTTCCACTGGTTCTACACAAACAACTGCGACGGCAGATTTCTCGCGGTCCGCAGCCCATCTGTCAGATGCTTGGCGACGGGATGATGCATGCAATCATCAGCATGCTCGGAGGCGGGTCGCTGGAAGGGCCCGCCACCGAGGACGAGCGCGCGTCCCTCTCCACTCTCCTCCAAAGCGAGAGTGCGGCAAGCATCAATGGCGCGAGGTTTCGCGAAATCCTAGCGGTGCACTGCGCGAGGCTTGCGGCGCTGCTCCGCCAGCTTGAGGTGGCTCTGCCTCCCGAGCTCGTCACCGCCATTGTCGAGCGTGCGGCGTCAGTGGAATCCGCCGACTTGACGCTGTGTGGCGGCGGCGGCGGCGGTGATCCTCCGTGTCACGGGCTGCGACGGCATCACCACGCCATACAGTGGGGTGCGGGAGGAGGCAGCACCGCGCTCGTCACTTGCGCTCGCTGCGCCAGAGTCGTGACGGCGAGCTACATTCCGCGCGTCCTGCCAGAGACGGGCGGTGGCTGGTATGCGCTGCGGAAAGTCACCGTCACCGCTGGCGAGGCGTCCTTCAAGCAGTGCCGTCACTTTATGCTTGAGCAGGCTGGCAACGTTGGCGAGCGGTCAACACCGGACCCGTCCTGCGCCGTTCGCCATCGGTACTCGGGGCTGCACTCCTTCCGCACCGTCGTGGCATCTGAGTGGGTCTTGCGCGGCCGAGTCAGCTACGAGGTGGAGCTGGCGCGGCTGTGCTCTCTCTCCGCGCCGCCCGCAGTTGCAGTCGGGTGTGTCACGCCGACGTGCAACGTAAACTCCGACACCGCGTGGGCGCCCGGCTCCCGCTGCTGGGAAGGCGCGTGGGGCTTCTGCGTCGAGGGCACGGGCGCCTCCACCTTTCATGAGATTCGCGCCCTCAGCCAGTCGCAACGTGCCTCGCGTGGCGGCAGGACGAGTGGGGGAGAGTGGGGTGTGTGGGAGGAGCCGGACCTAGAGGTTCGCTCTGGCGACGTGCTCGTCGTGACCATCGACGCGACGCGGCGCGCCCTCGGGCTGCAGATGACGCGGCACGGCGCCGCGGTGGGAACGGCCCGGCTGCTGCCGCTGAACACAGAGCCAGTGGAAGGGGAGGAGGAGCCGCTGGCTCTTGCCGTCGGCCTCAAGTATGCGAACGACAGCATCCGCCTGACGCGTAAAGAGGCAACAGGCAGGGCGGAGCGCGACTGGGAGCCCGGAGCGGCCGGGTGACTTTTCGTCATTAGTGTGCAGTCACCCCCGCCCCCCCCTCTCTCTGCGAGTGCGTGCGTGCTGCGCCCCGTGGGTGTCCCGACTGCGACTCTGGTCTCGCTGTGCGGCCCGCGCAGTCCGACGCGACGTCGGGCGGACTGGAGGAGAGAGAAGGTTACATGTACACAACACATGCACAACGTGCGCCCGCGGCGCGAGAGCCGAGACCCTCTGCGCGAGTCCGTCAGAGCCGTATACACATATGTGTAAAGCGTAACGGTGCTACGTAAAGCCGTGTGTGTGTAATGCTAATGGGCGTGTGTGGAGAGAGATGGATCCTGGATTGGCATTCATTTTGCACATTGGGATGTATGTGTATGCCACACACACCCCACTCCCCACACGCACACTGCATACAGCATACGGCTCTAGTGCAACACAGTGCACAGAGCTCAGAGGAAAAGGGGGCGGCACAGAGCCACACAGACACACGGACTATGAAGTTGAAGATGGATCCACAGCCACGCACGACGCACGTAAAATCGTCATCTCGCAGCATGTCTTCGCTCGCATTACACAAGCGTACCCGACGCTACTGTATCTCCCCTGTGAGAAGAGTCAGAGAAGAGTGTCTTGGCCGTTTAACCTTCCATGGCCTTGTACGCATCCGCTGCCTCGCCCTGCCCATCAACGACGACCTTCGCCTTCCATTTGTGTCCTCGGCCGGCGCGGAACAAAAAGGCGATGGCCAGCGAGGCGGACGCCACGACGAGGATGACGACGAGGGACCCGGCCTAGTGGACAACCGTGGTGCGCTGAGATGCATGCGCGCCGAGTCAGCTTGAGCCGTGATGAGTGGGACTGCCGCTGATGCGCTCGCGATGGACGTGCCGCGCTCCAGCCCCTGCGCCAGCATCGGCGTCGGCAAGGTGCCGCTGAGGCCGAGCCAACGCTTAATGTGCTGAAGCTCCACATGGCGCGCCTCCCGCACACTCAACGGATCATCCGGGTGCGCAAACATCAGGTCAAGGTGGTGTGCGCCCTCGGGAATGATGACCGCCACCACCGTCTCCGACACGCTCGAGAGGACGCCGATTGCGGACCAGGGGTCGTACAGCCCGTTGGACAAGACAATGTTGGAGGCCTGCTTCAGCGCCTCCATGCCGCCAAGCCAGTCGGCGACCCGGGTGGGATTCGGCTCCACGCCCCACTTCTCGCGACACCTCTTGTGGATGTAGGACATGTTGTACGCTTCGTCGGGGTGGAAAGGCAGGAACATATCGTTCACGCCGTCGCGCGAAAAGTAGGTTTCTTGTGGCATCATCTCGGTGCAAAAGAGGTAGTCCCACAGCCCGTCCTGCTCCGGGTCGTCGTGGACAGCCTGCAGGTAGTGCGCCAGCCTAACCCGGATCCTGCTGAACAAGCTCCTCTTGTAGCTCGATCGGTCACACCGCCATCGCCGTCGGGGAGAGGGGGGACGACACTGCTTCGGCAGCGTGCACCTCGATCCTGTACCGTGTTTGTTATGACCCCCCCCAATGAACATACCAGTGAGGGAGGGCGAGACGATCGAGGGGTCCCGTACCACGCGGAATCGACCCTATCCAGTGCTCAAGTGCTCACATACCCAAGGGAGGGCTGGCAGACGGCGCCGCCACCACAGTGCGGAATAAGCTGTGTGCCGCTGTTTTCACGCTGCTCAGCACGCCCCCCGGTTAAGCTGCAATGCAAAACTCTTTTTACCACCTTCAAGTACACCCCCAAGACTCCCCCAAACCGCCCAGGATGAGCTCCTTAGGTGCCATTCCGCCCAAGATATGACCGGTTGAAGTTGGGGTTCCACGGTCAGGATGGAGGTGTCGAACTGGATGGGGGTCAGCCAGGGAGGCTGTTGTGGCGCACCGGACAGCCCCCCAGCACCGTGCCCCACCCAACTGCATCCATGGGAGTCACAAACGGTGCTGTACTCGCGGCTGCAAGCACTCACGACACTCAAACCCACCACCTGCCTCCTACCCTGTACGAGGAGCCATTTCACCCGTGCAACATCTGCACAGGTGTACCGCCGACGCTCCAGCGCCCGGCCCCTACTAGAGTAGTCTTGGGGGACCCACAAACGACCAATACATCCACTCGCGGCTGCAGCATGTGTCCGGGGGGGGCATCCCCGTGAAGCAGCCAGCAGGTGCCGGACACGGCGTTGGCCGTCTTGGACCGAGATCAGGGCGCAACTGCCTGTCTCATGGGGTTGAAGGACCGTCATGGGGTCGGCTTTGATGCTGCCAATCAGTCGGGTCGATAGGTGGCGCCCCAGCGAGATGCGTTGCGGGTGCTCGGCGTCGCCTGCTTGAGTGGCCTGAACGCACTCGCGGGAGCCAGAGAGCAAAGGTGTGCGCGAATTGAGGCTTCTGAGCAAGCCCAGGCAAGCCACAGGACCGGCCATGTGCGTGGGTAGTCGAGCGGTGGCCGGAGGCAGCCTCCAGGAGTGCCTCTCAGTTCGACACCTCGGTCTCGACCACGACCAGACTCGGAGCGGCACACAGCTTATCCAAATCCTTTGGCCGACTCGCATGTGCTTATGGACCGCGCATCCTGCTCCTCGAACGCGCTGCACGCCGCCTTCAAAGACGGCGCTGCGGACGCAACAGTGCTTGCGCTGATCGAGTCGCAGCCTGAGCTTCTGATCCAGGCGGACGACTCGTGGGAGCGCTGGCTGCCTCTGCACCACGCTGCCCGCTGGGGCGCGGCGGTGGCGGTGGTGGAGGCTGCCGTCGCGGCGTGCCCCGAGGCGGCCAAGGTGGCCTCGCGTGGCGGCTACGAGCCGCTCCACCTAGCTGCCATGGGTGGACAGCTTGGCGTGTGTCGGGCGCTGCTGGCGGTCTATCCAGAGGGCGCCTTCAAGAAGGACTCGCACGGGCGCACGCCGCTCGTGGAGGCGAGGGAGGGCGGCCACGTCGAGATCGAGGAGCTCATCCTCTCGCTGCCTGGCGCACGAGAGGCGGACTCGGCGGAGGCGGCGTTGCGCGAGAGGGAGCGAGAGGAGCTGCTCGGGGCCGAGGCGGCGGCTGCGGAAGGGGAGGCTCCTGAGGAGGAGGAGGCTCCTGAGGAGGAGGAGGAGGAGGAGGAGGAGGAGAGCACTCTCTCCTCCGCGCGAGCGCTCGCCGGGCGGATGCTGCGCGCCGCGTCCTCGCTCTGGTGGCGCGAGGAGGAGCCGGAGGAGGAGCACGCGCTCTCCAAGCAGGCGCTGTCGGGGGCGTCGTGGAAGAGGGGCGTGTGGTGGGGACGTCGTGGACGTGTCTCGGACCTGTCCGTAGGCGCTCGCGGGCTACTTTGTCGAGCGGGCGAGCCACACCCCGCTCCGGCGGACTAACCAAGCTCGGGCAATCTCGAGTCCTCTTTGAGTAGGCGAGGCACATCCCGCTCCGGCTCGCCCGCAACGAGCGGCGCCTCCTCCGGCGGCAGAGTGGGGGGAGGACCAGCGCCACGTCCTTGACGCGTCGATGGCGCGTCCCGCAGGCGGATGCTCCGGCTGGTCGAGTCGGTTCTCTCCATCTCGCGCTACACAGACGCGGTGGACGCGCCGCGGCTCGCGGGCTCCGCCAAGCGGAGGCAGCTGCAGATGCGCGAGTTCGACTCCGTCTTCACCGCGATCGTCCTCTGCTGCGACTACGTCAAGGGGCAGGAGCTGGCGGCGCGACAGACCTCGAGCCGCGACTACGGGGTGCTCCTCCAGACCATCTTCGAGACGGCGCGCCGCTACAAGATCATCAACCCCGAGAAGATGGGCGACACGTACGCGAAGCTCGTCTACCTTCTCCAGGACGCAGCCGCGCCGTGGGCAGAGGAGCACCTCGAGTTCTCGCCCGTGGCGCCCGTCCGGACCGTGCACGCGAGGCTCGAGGAGCTCGGCGCCGCCGACATGCTCTCCGACCCGCTCATCGCGACCGCGACGCAGACCATCGCGCCGGAGCCGGGCAAGGCGCGCTACACGATCGAGCGCGAGATCAAGGCGAAGGAGCGCGCCATCGAGACGCTCGCCGCGCGATACCGCGGCGCCGCCTGCGAGCCGGACGAGCTGCGGCGCTGCATCTACTCGATCGGAGACAACCACGCCTACCTCTACCAGGCCCGCGACCCAGTCGACCGCGTCATCTCGCTGCTCCTCTCCCACTTCGGCGGCGAGGGCGGCGCGGGCGAGGGCGGCGCGGGCGAGGGCGGCGCGGGCGGCGGCTCTCTCGCGATCGAGCTCGGGCGGGAGGGGGCTCGGCTCACGCACTCGCACGCGCGGCAGCACGCTTTTGTGCTGCAGACGCTCACGCTGTGGCGCGAGATTGCGAACGACATGTTCCGGCTGTGGCACCTCGCCGAGCAGGACCTGCTCGACCCGAGCAACCCGTACGAGCAGCGCGACACGGGGCAGGGGCTGCAGCGCGTGCAGGAGGCGCCGCGCACTCGCGCCGCGCTGCTCGAGCTGCTGCGCGCGACGCAGCTCAAGGCGAGCGGAGGGTGGGTGGGCTCGTCGCTGGTGCACCTGGGCGACTCGAACGTCCCAAACGCGCTGCTCTTCATCGACAAGTACTCGCAGGTGGAGCACATCCTCAACCCGCTCCTCGCCACCCTCGACGCGCTCCCGAAGCTGCACGCCGACGACCAAAAGATCGGCGCCTGGATCGACGCGACCTTTGGCGGCGTGCGCGCGCTCACGCGCGCCATCCTGCGCGACTTCTTCCGCTTCGCCTTTGACGGCTCGGGCGGCGACAACTTTTTCGACGCCGGGTCCTGCATCGACGGCCGACTCACGTCGGCGTGGAACTGGTGCTCGCAGCTGCCGGAGAAGCCCTTCTACATCGTCTTCACCCTGGCCGGCTTCACCTCGTTTGACGGAAGCCTTGGCGGGAGCTGAGCCTGAGGACAGTCGCATCTCAGGGGAGAATCGCCTTCACAGGTCGCGGCCCGGAGGCTGCTGCGCAGCTGGGTGCTTGCTAACTTTTCACGCCACCTTTCCAAAAATAAAGAAGAAACGGCGCCTGCCACAATTCTTTTTTCCTTCGCGGCAACGCGATGGCGGCAAGGCCTCAATGCGCGCGCCCGCCTATACCCTATAGTATACGCTATAGGCTATAGCTGAGGCTAGTCGATCGCGTGTACGAGGTGTTCGAGCAGCACGGCGCAAGCCTGTAGATCACACCACCGTTGCAGCAGCGCTAGGGGAGTCGCATCAATCTGCAGTCCGGTCTGCATTGACTATCGCTCGTGAGCGCTGGCGTGAACAACATATCCTGACGCCATGCCGTCCTCGAAAGAGGCACTCGCTGCCGTGAAGGAGCTGATGCAGCAAAGGGGATCCATGTACCTCAGCAACAAGAAAATTCACGAGGCGTTGCTGCCTCAGCTGCCGGGTCTCACCTTCGGTCAAGTGCGGCGAGCTGCGGCGCGCGTGCGCGATCCACAACGGGCTGTCACAACTTACGGGCAAGAGATCCCGGTGTGGGAAGCGTCGCAGCGTGCCTATGTCTTTCCTTCAACCGGCGAACATGTTGCAGGTGACCAGTGTGGTCAACTCCCACTAAAGGCCAAGCAGGCCGAACCATGCGGCATCACCCCCGTAGCATGTGGGCGGCTAAACGAACAAGCTAACCAACCTCTCCTACCAAAGCGTACCCTGGCACTAGATGCGTCCTGGCATCGGGAGGGTCCGCCTAAGAGGAAGTACGTTCGTAAGAACTGATACATGTACTTTGTGCGTGGAGCGTCTTCCCCTTTTGCGCAGCAACACCTTAAACTTTCAGGCCCTCCAAATTCGGGTCGGAGCGTAGCCCGTAGCGGAGTGAGAGAGAGAGAGATTTTGTTTGTTTGTCGGAGTGAGTGGGCCCCGAGTTTGAGCGACGGACGCTTGCGTCCTAGCCTCCAACAACGCCTCCCCGGCGCAGAGGGGCCCCCGGAGGGACGCTCAACCGCTCCACGCCACGCCGCTTGCGGCGGTCCTCTTCCCAGCTTGCGACGCCGCCGCTTATTCCTTTTTTTCACCGGGAAGCCGCTCCGGGGCACCGCGCTCCAGGGTCCGCGAACAATGGAGGGCTTCCTCCTGCGCGCGCTCAAAGGGCTCAAGCGCGACCGCGCGATGCAAGAGATCCGGAGCAAGCTGCGCGGCCGCAGCCTCCTCCTCCGACGGGGCGCACGCGGCCGCCCCGCACGGCACAGCGCGCCGGCGGCACCGGTGCGCACGCCCGGAGCGGCGAAACGGTCGTCGCGACGAGCCAAACCGGTCGCCAGCCCCGCACAGATGCAGGAGCAGCACCGGTGCGCCAGCCCTCGCTGCCACCAGCCACCACCGCAGCGCCTGACGGGTCTGCCCCGCCGCAGGCTGTGGGAGGCCTATGCGTCGGCCGCGGTTGCTGCTCTGCCATCGACGGAGCTGCGCGCGCTCGCGGCCTTGTGCGCCGAGATGGACCGACACGGCTCCTTCATGGCTGTCGTCGCCAGCCGCTGCCCATCCCACGTCGGGATCGAGGGCCACGTCCTCGGCGAGACGAGCAGGACGTTCCGGCTGCTCGGCGCGTCCGGCAAGCCCGTCACGGTGCTGAAGCCGGGCGCCACATTCCGCATGCAGCTGCCCGCGGCTGCGCGGGCAGGGGTGCCGCCAGCGCTGCACCTCGACGGCTCGCAGCTCCTCTGGCCGAGCGACAGCAAGAGGTGACGGCGCATATTCGTAGAAGGGACAGTGACTCCCGGTTCATCCCGGGACAGTTGTGCACGTGGCCGTCTTCTCATGGTGTGTCTGTCTGCCTTTCCTCGCTCCGGTCTCTGCGTGACGTGTGTGTGTGTGTGTGTGTGTGTGTGTGTGTGTGTGTGTGTGTGTGTGTGTGTGTGCCGTTCCCTTTTGAACCTTTGCATGTTGTGTCGAGTGTTGAGATCGCGCGAAGAGCGAGACTCGTTTTCGGTTTTGTCTCCGCTCCGCGGACCGCGCCGGGGCCTCCGGGCCCGGGCTGCCCCTCTTCCGCTGGCGGGCTTCTCGGCTCGTCCCGGCTCTCCCCGGCGCGCGTCCTGGGCGCGTGTGTCCCCCGTCCGGCCGGGTCGCTCTGGGGTGGCGCGGGTGCCCCCGGCCCACACCGTGCGCCGCGCAAGCACCAGCAGTCGGCGGAAACGGGGCTCCGGGCCTCCGGCTCCACTAGTCTCCACTAGCACCGGCTTCCCGATCTAACCCGGTCTAACAGAGGGCAGATTTGGAGAGATCTCGAGGAGTACATACAGATAGACCCTCCAATCATCAGAAAACTCCGACCTGATCGGTCGTACTGACCGCCGACAGATCACTCCAGACAGTAGACAGGCCGACGTCTGCACGCGGCCGGCCGGGCGAGAGGCTTGACACGATCCGACCCTGCGAGACCCTGACGCTGCTGCTCTAGCTATCAGACATGCGCTGGTGACTGCTGCCACAATGTGCGACGGTGCTGACCCACTTGGCGGCCTTCCCGGTCAGTGGTGAGGCGCAGTTCAGAGCTGTCGATGGCGCGATGGGCGATGCCGCACTGGTCCCACATTGGTGACACGATACCACCAAGTTTGCCGGTCCAAGAGAGAGGCACCGGCGCTGTCCTGAGAAGAGCGTGGTCCCTCTTGACTGCCCATGCGCGCGAGGCTGTGTAGGCATAGCCTCGAGAGTGCCAGCAGCCAATCCGAGGTGACGCGCATTGCGTCAGAAGCGTGCACACGATGGAAGGACACCTTCCTACTGGCCGTACGATCAGGTCGTCACTGAATGCTGGATACTAAGGCCGCGAGCTATGCAGGTGATCAATTGTGCATCATGGCACGGTCAGCTGCGCCGACAGGCTGTCGCAAGGCGTGCTAGAAGGCGTGATAGCATGGCCGCAAGTACGCCGAATTCCCATGAAAACAAGTAAAAAAACGACAAAAAAGAAAAACAATCCAAAAAAATCGGCGCCTGCGGCGGGCCATGGGACCCCATCTCCCCCCCGCATGGACACCCTCTGGGGCCCCCGCGCCGGCCCAGAGGCAGCGCGCCGGGTCGGCGGTGGCGGCCTGCGCGCCTGGTGTGTCGGCTCGCGGTGTCGCGCGATAGAAAGTGGTGCGCGTGCGTTCATCTGATCTTATCAATCAGCAGGAGCATGTAGGTGAATAAAGCGGCGGTGCACAGACTGCAGAGCCATACACACGCCGCCCACGCCGGTCGCCCGCCCACTCCCGCGCCAGCACAAGCCGCACCTAACTCTCGGATGGCTGAGAGGCGGCGGCGGCGGCGGCGGCAGGGGGGGGGACACACGGCGTTTGGCGGGTCGGTGGACGAGAGGACACGATATCACGCGGGGATCTAGAAGTCGGGCAGGCCGTAGACGGTGCCCCAGGTGGCGTGGGTGACGGCCTCCTGTGCGAGGAAGCCAGCGGCGGCGATCATGGCGAGGCGGGCGTGGGCGAGCTCCTTCTCCTGCATGAGCTTGAACTCGTCGGCGGACAGGTCCTTGGAGAAGCCGAGCGGGTCGAAGCCCAGGTCGCCCGGGGTGTAGCCCGGCCGCAGCGCCGTCTCCGCCTTGAGCTTCTCGCCGTCGAGCTCACGGAAGGCGATGTTGATGCGCGCCGCCTCGGCGGCGGCGATGCCGCCGCCCATCACCACCCAGAGCCAGACCGGCAGCTGGGGGATCTGGTCGATAGCCGGGCCGCCGTCGCCCGAGAAGAGCGGGTGGAACTTCTCCTGCACGAGGAAGCCGAGCGACGCGAGCATGCCGACGCGGCCGTGCGTGAGCTCGGCCTCGCGGTAGCGGTTGACCTCGAGCTCGGACTTGCCCTCGAGGAAGCCGGCCGGGTCCCAGTTCAGCTCGGAGCCGCCGAGCGCGTTGAAGTTGCCGGGCAGGCCGTACGCGAAGGCCGGGGCCTTCTTGGGCGCCGACGCCTTGGCGCCGAAGAGCATGGTCGGCTGGACGCGCGACGGGACCTGCGGACGAGAGGGCGGGCGGCGTCGGCGGGGCAGCGCGCGGGCGGGGGAGGTGGGCCGGGCGCGCGCCGACGCGACGCCGTGGAAGGAGGTGGACTGCAGCGAGAGGGAGAGCATGCTTGCGGTTTTCGGAAGTGTCCGAGCGCCTTCCCGAATCTAGGCGCTGATGCGGGCACGTGACGGGAGGTTTGCGCGACTCTTCCGCGCTCAGAAACGGAGAAGGGAGAAGGCTGTCTACCTCGGATTTCCGGCCCCTCGTTGGGACCGGTCATTTCATATTGGACCGGTCACTTGAGCGGTCACCTTCCGACCGACTCGAAGCGGTCGTTTTCCGAAAGAGGCTCAGGGGGGATCAGCCTTAATCCCCCCAACCGGTCATTTCCCGACGCCCACGGTGGCGAAGCGGTCACCTTCCGATCAAAAAAGGCGGTAGTGATCTGATCACCCGAATACCACGTTCGGATCGCTCCTCATCGCAAACCCTGTCAGCAGTTCACCCTCGGGTGTGTTCGTAAGAGCTACATACACTGGAAAAAACGTTACAAAAGTCTACGTCGCAAGGAAAGCAGCGTCGATACCAAGCAGCGTCGATACCAAGCAGCGTCGATACCCAATGGCGCGAATACCGCGGCCAGGCGGACATCGTCCTCGATAGCTTCGACGGAAAAGTGCCTCTCCATGATCTCATGACCCTGCTAGTCAGGCGGCCAACGGTGTACGACCGAGCGTTGAAAGTACACGGCGTGGCGTAAGTTCGCGGCGTGCTCGGCAGCGTGTTATCATTACATCAAATACCCCGCCCGAGAAGTGGTACCCAGATGGCGACGAGGCGGAATTTGTGGGTGAGATGTTGCGCGACATCATCACATCGTCGGGAGGTGTGACGCGTTTTTTGAGTAGAACTAAAGCTCGTTTTAAGCACTAATACTGGGACAGCCGGTGCTGCGGGCGGACGCGCTCGACATCTCTCTCGAGCGGTGGCGCGGACATGGGACAGCGGGCGCCGCATCACATTTAGTACCATTCCACTATTGAGCATTGTGTAGAGTGCACTGTATTACACTCCTCATACTCACCTCTACACTGCACCCGCTTCGCTTGGTGTTCTTACCGGCAGTTCGGTCACACCGGCTCGTCCTATCCCGCCCCACCCACCTCTCGCTACCGTGCTCGCTCGTAGCACGGAGCTCAGCGAAGATCAACGGCCGAGGTCGCACCGCGCGCCTCCGCCGCGAGGAGCTCGGCCTTGGCGCGAGTCTGCAGCGACTGAAAGCGGGCCACGACCGCCCAGAGCGAGTTGGCGAGCACCGGCCGCGACTTGGCCTCGTCGGTCATGTCCTTCGCGATAGACATGAGCCAGCGCACCTCCTTGTTGACCAGCTCCCGCTCCTTGTCGCGCGACTGATATCCCTTGCGCTGCGACGCACGCACGTACTTAATGTCGCCCGTGGCGATGGCGAGGGCCGAGGGCCTTCTCGAGCTCGACCTTCTCCCGCTCGATCGCGTGGGCCTTGGCGAGCATGGCTCCCTGCTGCTCGCTCATCGCCTGGATGTGCGCCGCTTCCACCTGCGTGCAATCGACTGGCAGTGCGCCTGCGCAACGTTGACGTCGAATAGCGCGGTGTCCCGCTCAGAGGTGAGCACGTCCTTCTCCTTCTCGTGCTCCGACTTCATGGTGGACTTTTCCTGAAAACGGCAGAGGAAACGTGTGATGAGATGAGAGCAGGCGCCGTGATTGTGCTGGCCTCGCACAGGGCTGGTGGATTAACGTTAACACGGTGTTGACACGTTAACGGTTAACACCACAGCCGTAGAGGTGTTAAAACGTGTTAACACCGCCCCTCGGGAGGTGTTGACCCGCCGTCTAGCATATTCACTTCACACCCGCAGCTGCGATTGCGAACATGTCCCATTCATTATTATCCCTCGTGCTCGACGCCCTCCTCAAAGTCGGCAATCGCTGCATCCACATCCTCCTCTTCCGCCTTTCGGTACTTCTTGAGCGCATTCTTCAGCGGCGTCTTGCCACAGTTCTCGTACAGCTCCTCGAGCTCCACCCAGCGCGTGTCGATGAATCCAGCGTCATTGCTGTCCTCTTTGAAGGTGCCTCGCGTGAGGTAGCACACGGCCTTGTCGGCAGCAGCCAGCCTGTTGCGCCGCTTCTTTGCGATGAGTTGCTCGGGCTCGCAGAAGCGCATGCCGAGCACTGTCTGCCTCAATCTTGAAGCAGAATGTCGGCACGACCGCATCGTCCGCACCGCCACCTGCCAGCCGCGCCTGCCGCTGCGCCGCAGCCGCTTTCTGGCACTTGTAGCGGCAGCACATGGTGCGGTGCGCGTACTTGAGCAGACGGTGCCACCTTGTGACGGTGCCCTGGCAAAATCGTCCCGATTTCGATGCGCGATTTAGCTAAGTCCCAGAGCCGTTTACGCATGAGCGGGCCCCCTCACCAGCCTAGGGCTCGCGCTTCTGGCCCGAGGTGTCGCCGCTGCCTCCCGCGCCCTCCGGCGCCTGCTGCTACTGCCGGTCGGCCGGTCGGGTCCGCGCGACGGCTCCATCCTCGAGACGTAGCGGTCGCTGAGCGCTTTCTCGACCGCTACGTCTTCCAGTGCACCCACCCACCGCGACCCTCGAACCTGCGCTGCGCGGCGCAGTTGCTGCCGAGTGAGACGCCCCCGCCCGCGCAGGGGCGGCATCACCAGACGCTACCGCATGGCCGAGCAGCGAGCAGTGTGTGCCGCAGTGCCCGTCCGGGCCCTCTTGCAGCTGCCTCTATTGGGCGTAAACCGCGGATATAAGGGTCTATACGGAGGTGGGTGGCCTCTTAGAGGTATGGGAGCCGCTGGCACCGCGCTGGGCGCCGCGGATGCACGTACGAACGAACATTATGAAATCGGGACGATTTTGACCCAAAAATCACAAGGTGGCGCTGCAGTTGGCGCAGTGGCCCTGGGAGTAGGGCGCGCGCGGCATTGACGCGGACCCAGGTATTTCTCGGGTATACCCGGTTTTTTGCAGGTATACCCGGGTTTTACCCGGAGCGTGTGTCAACACCGTGTTAACGGCTATGTTAACGCTTGTTTTGGGACTGCCGTTCAACTGTGTTAACACCGACCTCTGCGCCAAGTGTTGGCACGATCTGTAGTCAGAGCTGCCCCTGAGGTGTGTTAATGTTAATCCACCAGCCCTGGCCTCGCACCGTCTCGTAAACAGAAAGGAGCGACTCGAACGCGGACATCGCACCCCTCATCCGAGTTCAGAGCTGACACCACGTCCTGAGGCACGGTCGGGATTGTCAGCAATGAGAGCGCACGCGACATCGTGCTATGAGGGCGGGCGGACCTCAAACAGGGCGGCCTTGTTGGCAGTGCCGGCATCGCTCGAGTCGTTCTCGCACGATGCCTTGCGCTTGCGGCTTGCGGCTTGCGGCGGGCGGGACAGGGCCAGCGCCCATAGCGACAACCGAGACGACCGGCGGGGAAGGCGCAGCCGTGGCCGTGTCATTCGCGACCGCCGCGCCCGAGGGCGGCGCCTAATTCTCGGGAGGCGCGGAGGCCGAGAGAACACTCGGAGCAGCAGCACAGGACTTCGACGCCGGAACCATCATGTGAGACGTGTTAGGCACGGGGACCCCCCCCCCCCCCGCCGGGATGTACAAACTTAAATCGGAAAACGACCGCTTCGCGTCGGCAAATGACCAAAACTGACCGCTTCGAACGCTAAATGACCGGGTGTGCGGTGACCGCGCAATATATTACGTATGTTGTTGGTAGGTTCGTTGTTGAAGGGGAGGAGCGGGAGAGAGAGAGAGAGAGAGCGAGAGCGAGAGCGAGAGCGAGAGAGAGAGAGAGAGAGAGAGAGAGAGAGAGAGAGAGAGAGAGAGAGAGAGAGAGAGAGAGAGAGAGAGAGAGAGATGGGATGGAGTATGGAGAGAGAGAGAGTGCCCGCGCGGCGGCGTGATGAGCAGCGAGCTCTCGAGGAGAGGGGGAGCAGCGAAAAAGAAATAAATAAACGGACAACCCAAAGGGATGAAAGAAAGAAAGAAAACACACAACCCAAGGGATGCGATCAGCGCGCGCCCAACGCGCTTTCTTCTTTCCAGTGCCCGCCGCTCCTTTGCCTAGCGTTCCTGGCCGTGAGCCGCCTGCCACTCCCCGCCCACCTCGCCGTCAGTCAACATACCAACCAAGGACCTCGCGCACGCAGGTGAGACATGGCGCAAGCGGGCGCCACCCTCCAGAACTACAACAACGACCTCGTCCGCTGTGCGCGCCACACTCTTGCCCACGCTGCAAAATCGTCACCGCTGCTGTGCCACAGTGGAGTCGAACAGCAGCGTGACTCGCTGCCTCCCCGTTCGCGCAGGCATCGAGGAGCTGCGAGAGAAGCGCGAGGAGCTAAACCGCTCGGTGGCAGCAGACGAGGAGGAGAAGGGTGCGAGCGTTGCACACACGTTACCGACAGTGCCGCCTTGGCTGCCACCCGCCTGCACCGGGGCTGATGTCGCGTGATCTCCCGCCCCCACCGCACTCTGCTCCCTCCCTACGCCCGCTCTCACTTCCGCCGCCCCCCCCCCCCTCGTAGCCAAGATCCAGAACGATCTCCGCATCCTCACGGAACGCCTCGCTCGCATCAACGACAACTTGGCACCAGCCGCCGCCCGCCCGCCGCGACGCGCATACCCATGCTCGCTGGCGCCGCCCCTCCCCCCCCGACTCCGGAACCCCCTTCACAGGCGCGCAAGATAGCGTCTCGCAACGAGTACGACAAGACGATCCAGGAGACCGAGGCGGCCTACGCCAAAATCATGGAGTCGTCGCAGGCATGCCGCGGCCCAGCCCAGAAGAGAGAGTGGGGCCACTGCGGACCAGGGAGACGGACCGAGCACCCTCCCCTCCCCCCTCCCCTCCTCACACCTCTCCCTCCCCCAGACCCTGCTGCACGTGCTCAAGCGCGAGTCCGTCAACCTGCAGAAGAAGAAAGCGCCGTCCGCGTGAGAGTCGCCACTGAGACCAAAGGGGGCGGGCGTGAGAGAGCGAGGCTGTGTGAGGGGGACTGGTCGCGCCAAATTGGCTGTTGGCGCTTGGCGCGGTTGGATCCGTGTGTGGCGCAGAGAGCGAGAGCCGTCTCCCGCCCGCGCGGCGTTGCCGTTGGGGGGGGGGGGGGCTCGATACAGTCTCCGCGCAGTCGTGTGTTCTTTATTGTGGCCCTCAAGAGAAGTACATCGTTTTGAAATACGTCGGGAGACTGGTCGGTCTCCTGGACGGACTCTGTCTCTGTCTTACTCGTCTAAGCTCTAACCAGGCGGGGCCGGTGGCGCGGTGGCTCGGACTCTCAGCGTCCGCTCTCAAAACTCTAGCCCGAATACTATTACGTACACGCGGGCGCCCGCAGCGCTCGCCGCCAACACGCGCCGGGGCGTTGACCGGGCTCGCCTCGGCAGCCCCGTCGAGTCGCCACCGCACTCGGCGCCCGCACCCCGCGCTTTGAAGAGGAGGGCGGTTGGCGGCGCGCTAAGACAGCCCGCAGGCCACGTGCGGCTCAGACGCTCACCTCGGTCACGGATTGCAGCAGCATGTTCATCATGGTGTCCTTGTTGCCCGCGACCTGCTGGGAGATCAGCAGCAGCTCCTCCTCGGTGGCGGACTGGGTCGTCTTGGAGTGCGCTCCTGCAGGCCGGCGGCGAGGGTCGGAGACAGCAGGGAGAAAGAGGACAGAGGGGAGGGGGGCGGCGCGCCGCTGTCGCCGAGCTTGTCCTTGGAGAAGACCTCGAACTGCGCCTGCCGCTGCGCCTGCGTGGGGTGGGCGGCGGAGGGGGTCCCTGCCGGGGCTCGAGAAGCGCGGACACGCGAGGGGTGCGCGGCGCCTTGTAGGCTGCAATCTCCTCGTCCGCCTCGGCCTTGGCCTGCTTGAGGCGCGCGACCTTGTCCTGCTTCGCCTTGGCCACGATCTCCGCCGCGTCCTGCTCCGCCTGCAGCAGCTTCTGGATGCCGATGTGGGCCTTGGCGGTCGCGTCCATGGTCTGTGGCGCGGGCGCGGCGCGCAGGTGTGGGCGGCGCTGCGGATCGGGCGGGCGGGGGAGGAGGGAGGGGCGGCCGCGGGGGGCGACGGGGGCGACGCCCGACGCCAGATCGGGGCGGCGGGGCGAGGGCGGCGAGGCGTCGGGGTGAGCCTCAAGAGCTGTGTCCTGTGCGCGCGAGGCAATTTTCTTTTTTGGTTAGGGAAGCGATTTTTGCTAAAGGTATATTTTCTGCGATTTTCAGTGAAAGGATGCCGGAATAAGCGCGTTGCGGCGCGGAGATCTAGGCCAGACTGTGACGGCGCGATTTATTTTCTTTTGTTTGCGGCCCCTCCTTCTGTGGTGTTCACCGGCTGCTGCTGGTTGGAGAGTTGCAGTGTACTCGAGTACGCGATGCCGGTTGCGGAACCCGGAGATTTAGGCCATGGCCTGACACATCAGCAGGCCGTTCATCATTTGGGCAACAGAGAAGGGGTTTAGGTAGGAAGGTGAAGAACAGCCAGGCTCGGACTGGACACCAGCGCGGTATGGGTGGACGCGAGACAGATGATGACGACACGCACGAACGACACACAGACACAAGCAAGCTCACAAGACACACAGCCAGCTGGCTGCCACACACCCTGAGTTGGCGTACACATAACTCAGGGCCACATTCTCCCTGTCGCCCCCCCCAGCACTCCCAGGTGCCAAGAGAAACAAACAAGGGCACAACAAACAACAGACAACAGGGGCGAACGCGTGAGGCTAGAGCAGGCTTGCTCGGCCTCTAGCAATCTCCGCCGACCGCGAGGCCGGACTAGAGTCTAGACCGTGTGTGGGGTCATGTGAGGTGTCTCTGGTCACTCTCCTCAGGGGCTAGCCGCCAGCCGCTAGCCCTATCTCGCACTCACAGGCAATGACAATCCAATGTATGAGCGTATGCAAGCAGAGGCGCGTGTGCTAAATCTAGGCCGCACGGAAGGCCCCCGCACGGGGGGTCCCGGCCGACGTCATGCGCGTCCGCCAGGGGTCCAGGGTCGCCCAGGCAAGTGGCCCAAATCCGGTGAGTTTTCCAAGTGTGAACAGCTGTTGAGAGGTGTGAATTCATCCCAGGCGGGGTGCGGGGCGGTAGCCCTGCAGAGAAAATTTTGCGTGCTGGGGCACTGAGATCGCAGATTTCGTTAGTCCACGGCGGATGCCAGCTGCAGCTGCGAGGAGATACGCGGTGCCTCATTTGAGCATGCATCAGCGTCCTTTCTGCTGGCATCACGCATAAGAGAAGCCGAGAGGCACGAGGTCCTCCAATTTGCCGGATCAGCAGCGCGGTCTGGAGCGTGGCTGTGGGGTATGCATGCTCCCCCGCAGTCTGAATGGACCGACGCCCGAGCCCATACTGCGTTCTGTGCAGCCATCTCAAGCAGTGAAGGGGATCGGGGAAGTTGCGCCACCCCGCTGTCGTTCTCCTGCCGTGCATGCCAAGAGCGTTGAATAAATTCGACCGACTTGAGCGGCCCACACCGAAGTCGTTCGCAGGGCGCAACAACCAGCGATAGCGCAATGCCAAGATCTTCAGCCGTGGGATCGCTGTGGGTCGATCGGGCGTCACTGGGATGGCTTGCCTGCCTTCTGTCGTCGATGATGTGGCATGCGAGGACGATGATCGATGTGCTGTCGTCGAGGAGCAGGATTCCTGGTTGCTCGTCGTCACTCGATGCGTGGCTGGACGTGTAGCTGCCCTTTCCTGGCAAGCTGTCGTTGTCAGACTCTTGCCCAGGTGACTCGACAGCAGGACTGATGAGCCCAGCTATCATGTTTTGCGCCGCTTCGCGGGGCTTTCACTCTAGCCATAGCGTTCTTCTGTCTGCTAATTCGAGTTTTTGTTTAATTGGAGTTCTAATTGGAGTTGGTGCGCGTGATTTTCTGTGCTCCACCGTAGCGTTCGGGCCGGATATCTTTCTTTTCAGGAGAACCTCGAGCGGAGAACAAAACATCGCGCGCTCTCGCGGGCGCCCACAGCAGTTACGCGTGCAGCCCTCGGCAGCTGCAACGAGTGCGGTGCTCGGCGTGCTCTCGCCTACAGTGCTAACTGACGCAGTATGGCTGCAGGGACAAGCACGGAGGCGATGATGACCGAGCATACAGCGTTTGCCGCACTGCCTGTGCCGTGGCACGCTGCATTCCAAGAGCACAGCGGGGCCGGATGCGAGCAAGTGCATGCAGTGTTTTGGTTCCGGTGTGCAGTGCCTTGGTCCAGTCATCTACCAGGCCCTCTGCACATCAATGCTCGGCAAGGAGCTGTCTACTGGTGTCGTCAACATGGGACTGGGGGAGCCCGGACCTCGACCTTCCTACGTGCCAGCCGAGGTCTTGCCCGTGCCAGAAGGCTACGTCCCGTCCACAATAGATGAGAGTGCGCAGCAACAAAAGTGGGGCTCGCGTATCGGCGGCGAACACCATGGAGCAGAGCTTTGGCACCTATACTCCACGCTGGCGGCTCCTTTGGCAAGCTGCTGCCTGCTGCGGCGACGGCGGAGATTAGGCTGCGGCTCATCCGAGTGCAGGTGGTTGACCCCGGCCATCTACACCTCCCTGACCTACTAGCATAAGTGTGTTCCCCTCCCCCTCGCACACAGGATTGACGTTGCTCTCGGCGCTCGCTCCCTCCTCGCCGCCGCGGACCAGGCGTGCCCGCGAGGGCTCTGCAGAGAGCCAGACGGCTCCGCGCGGTCGGACCGACTTTTTTCAGACTTGACTATTCTGGATACTAAGGGTATGTGCAGCTAGATCTCACTGAGCTGAGCTCATATCTGCCCTCAGTATCCTGTTTTGAGTTCGGGAATGCCTTCAGTATCCTGTTTCCGTGTACGGAGGGCCGCGTCCGGACGCGCATGACGTCGGCCGGGACCCCCCGTGCGGGGGCCTTCGCCGCACGTCGTGGCATATGACTTGGGAGGCGTGCGACGGCAGCGCGCCCGCCGTCAGCTCGACGGTGCGCGCATGTCAGCGAGATGTTTGCCGGTAGAGCGATCCCGGTCTTGTCGAGCGCGAGCCCCGCGCCACGGTTGCCAGCCGTGCCTTCGCGAGAGTCGCCCTCGAGCCGCGTCCCGTCGGCACTACCCTCGAGTGCGTGTCGTTGGTTGGCGACACCCACTCGTCGAGGGCAGTCCGGCCGACGGGAGCCTGTCGCGCGCCGGCGACGAATGCGGCGGGGTCGTTGTGCAGAGCGTGTGTGTTCACATCTCCAAAGTGTCGGCGACGGCAAGTCAAGTGGGGAGCAACGGCCGTTGTCATGGTCGTGGAGGTATCGGCCCTCCTCCACTACGAGGCTACAGCCTGGCTGCGGTTCTGGAGGCGAGTGCACGACTTCTCCGGCGCGCGCCTCGCTGCGGCAGGCTGCTCCACCGCCGCCGACCCTGCAAGAGTACTGCTCCAAGCGCTCTGGCACCTCACGCCCATAGTCGTCGCCGCCTGGAGGCCGCCGATGGCAGGGCGGCTATTGGCTCGCGCCGCCTCGGCGTGGCCGTGGAAGCTGCCGGCGGCGAGGCTGTACTTGGCTTGGCGCCGGGTGACGAGCCGCAAAGCTCCCATCGCCGTCATTAGCCGGTTGCCGTGGTTCCGTCGGTTGTGGTCTCTCCGCCTCGGCTCTGTCCACCCTCTCGCGATGCTGATCGCCGCTGCCGCCGCCTTCGCCTCCGCCGCCGGCGGCCGGCACGGCGAGGTCGGCACGGACGCGCAGCAGCCTCCCACCCATCCGCCAGAGGATCGCGAGGAGGCGATGCCTGTCTCGCTGCTCCTCTTCTTCGGCGCAGCGCTCGCCGCCGGCGCCGTGCTCTGGACCGGCCTTGTTGCACCCGCCGGCGACGACCACGACGCAAAGAGCCGCCCGAGCCGCGCCGCCGGCACCTCCACCGACGTCGATCCGACGACGCTGCCGGCTTCCTCTCCCCCGCTGCGTCGGCACCGCGCCTGGTCGTCGCCGGGCCGCCTGGACGCCACCGCGGAGACGTCGCCTGCACAAACGGCGCCTCTGGTCTTCGCCGGGGACGTCCCAGCGAGGACGGCTCGGCGGGGAGATCTCGAGGCGATCGAGGCGGAGAACGCCGCGCTGAGAGAGCACATCTCGGTGATGCAGGGCTCGCTCGACCACGCGGCGCTCGGCCTGCTCCGGCGCGGCATCGACGACCTCGTGGCGCAGCGCGAGGAGGTAGGCGGACAGCTGGCGCGCCTCCTCCACGGCGCGCCGGCGGCGGCGGGGCGGCCGGCAGGCGGCCCGTCTTCGCCGAGGAGCGCCGCTTCTCCCCTCGAGTCTGGCGCGGCGACTCGCATCCAGGCTCAGCAGCGGGGGGCGACTGCGCGCCGCGCGGCGGCAGCTGCCGAGCTCGAGGCCGGCGTCGTGGCGATTGAGCTCCAGATTGAGTTTCTGCGCGGCCAGGCGCGCGCTCGCCCTGCGCGCGTGTCCGAGTCGCTCGCCGCCCGGCCGCAACTCGCAGCCCACACCAAATCCTGCCCTCCACACCTCCTCGCCTCCCGCTGCCACACAGGAGAGGGAGATCTCGGCGCGCGTCTCGGAGCACCTCGACGCAACGGGCCCCGGCGGCACAGGCGGCACAGCGGGTGCCATCCCCTCTCCCGCCGCCTCCGAGCCCGAGCTCTACGAGCCCTTCGGGTGCGGCGATTCGCCGGCTTCCGACGACGGCACCCCTACGCGGGTGCAGAGGGGCGCGAGCTGGAAGGTCAAGCAGTTCGGGCTGAAATGCTCCGCCGCCGGCAACTACCCGTCGAAGGGGCCGTCACCCACCCATTATGGCACTCGGCGGTGAGGACGGGATCTCCGTATATCGGCCAACGCCGGCAGTGCGGCCGCGCCTCTGGATATTCCGATTGCCTTGGAAAATGCCTTCTCCTCTCGTATGCACGGGTCTACGCGCCGTGTCTCTAGCTATAATTTATCAGTTTCACGCAACACGCGGCTCCCCCCCGCGCCGCGCCGCGCCCTGACGCCTGAGACCCCCCTCGATTAAAGAAGGTCGTAGTACGTAGTACGTAGAGACAGCCCCAGTAGAGTGTCCCAGCTGTCTGGGACAGTCTCGCACGAGTCAGTCCCCCTGTCTCCTGTCAACACGTGTGTCGGCTGTGGGTAAAGCCGTATCTGAGAAGATTGCTTACCGTATCCCCCCCCCCCACACACACATTATTGTTTGTTTTGCGTGAGCTCCGCGGACCGTACCGGCGTGCCGCATACTGTAAAGAGCCGTGTACAGGTGTACGGCTCTATGTGTGGGAGGCGTGACTGAGCACGAGTGCTCACAGTGGGGCTGAGATGGATTCATGTAAATTACCGTGGCAATAAACGTAAACGTCTCCGATGCTCCCTGTGCTGACTGTCTAGAAAGGACACACGTACCAGCTCGACGTACCAGCTATGACGTATCGAGCCCAATTCCAGAAAGAGGGCCGCGCAATACACGATCGTACATCGATCGCTCAAGTGTTCCAGTCGGGAGGATTCAGTCGCGCTTACTTCCAGTGCTGGACGCCTTTCTCTTGGTGCCTCACTCCGCCGCAGCCGGCTCGGCAGGCGCCGGGGCTTCGGCCGGCTCCTCGTCGAGGGCGGGGCGGGAGGGCATGCACTTTGGCGCAGCGGGCAGGAGGTTTGAGAAGGCCTTGGACAGCTTCTGGATCAGCGTCGGCTTCTCCGCCTCTTCGGGAGCGACCGCGGGCGACTCCTCCTCGACCGCCGTCTCCGGCGCCGACTCCGGAGCAGCCTCAGGCGCAGCCTCCTCGGCCACTGGCTCCGGAGCCGCCTCCGCCGGCGCCTCCTCGACCACCGCATCATCTGCCACCTCCTCGACCTCCGGCTCGATCACCGGGGTGGAGCCCTTGCGTGGCGAAAGGACCGTGGCAATCACGTCGAACATGGACTCCTTGCGCGGAGTAGGAATCGCATCGGCAGCCGCCGCCGACGCAGCCGCCGCCGCCACATGCGTGTATTCAAGCTGCGCCTCCGCCTCCGCTGCCGCCACCTCTGTCGCCTCCAAGTCAACCAGCGCGCGTGCGACGGGCTCCTCAGCCGCCTCGACCGGTACGTTGGCCTCGGCCACCTCGAAAGCCTCGGTCTCGGCAGCCTCGTCAGCGGGCTCAGAGCCAGACTTGCGCCCCGACATGTACTCCACCAACTTGTCCACCAAGGAGGGCGCCTTGGTCGGCTCGGCCGGCGGCACCTCCTCGGCCGCCTCGGCAGGCTCCGCCCCGGCCTCGTCGAGCGAAGCCTCCTCCTCTGCCGCCTCCTCCTCCTCCTCGGGCTCCACGCCTGAGCGTGCAGGCGCAGCGTCGGCGGCGGGCGTCTCGGCGATCGCGAGGCCGAGGGCGGGCGCGGTGTCGACGGCGGTGGTGTCGGCGGGAGTACTGGTCGGCTCTGGCTGCAGGACCGGCTCGGTGGTGGTGTCGTAGGTCTTGGAGCTGCAGGAACCCATGGCCTTTCGCGGTTGTGTGTCGGGTCCTCTCCGCGTCGTGCGTCCTTGGCCACGTGCTAGTTTCGACTGTCGAGCACTTTTGAGCACTGTTGTGGCTGCTCTGTACATAAGCTGCCTCATAAGCTCGCCCCACAGGCGCACATCGCTTCCAGGGAGGGGGGGTGCTTCTACTCTCACCACATGCTAGGGGGGGGGGGGGGGGGTCCCAAAGGCTTCACCACATGCACATGACGGGGGGGTGGGGGGGTGGGGGGGCCGGGGCCTCCAGATGTGGGAGGGCGACCCGTGTGGGGGGGGCGCCAGCTGCGGCGGGTCTTCGGCCGGTGATGTTGCGGAGGATGAACCGCCGCAGAGCGAGCGCCAGAGGCTGCCCGCGCCCGAGCCGAGGCCAGAGCCGCCGCCGCTGATGCACGTTCAGATGGGAGGCCCGCCCCCCACATCAGCGCCGGCTACCGCAGGGGTCGCCGCGCCGGTTGCCGCCGGTCCGTCGCTCGGGCCGGCGGACGTTCAGAAGGCCTTCCTGGCCCTACATCGAGGGGGCAGATGCGGCCGCCATTGGGCGCGCAAACGCGGCCTTTGGCCGGCGCTCCTGACAATGACGTGGCGGGGCGGGTGGAGAGGAGCCGGGGAGACAGGGCTGGTCACTCGAGGCCGGTCAGTTATGCTCGAGAGTGTCCGCACACACACACACACACACACACACACACACACACACACACACACACACACACACACACACACACACACACACACACACACACACACACACACACACACACACTCCATCAAGATATTGGACTTGCAAGATATTGTGGCTGAAAGTCCAAGATACCTGCGCCTCTCCGCCCCCCTCCCTCCCTCGCACATGCCCGCGCACACACCCTCCCTCTCGACCAAGCTTCTCTCTGCCGCTGGCGAATCGCACCCGTCGGTGCCTCGTACGCCGATCCCAGCGCCCTGGGCGGCGACGGTGGGGCGGCATCGGCTCTCACCAGGAAGACGGGCGCCGCTGCTCCCGTGACCTGTGTGAACACCCCCCCCCCTCCCTGGAAGCGATGTGCGCCTGCTCCGAGGATCAGGGTGGGCGGAGCAGTACCTCACTTCCTCAATGGGTGAGCTTCTTAATCAGAACTCCTGTGGCCAGCGCCACCACGCGTCCTCAGATACATACTTGCGCGACACACCCGAAGGTCGCACACCGACTATAACCCCGAGGCAAGGGCGTATGCACATCTAGCAGGCACGCACATGTTCCACAGTGGTGGCCCATGGTGTTGTGCACACTCTGCCCCCACACGTGGGAAGCCACTTCCTACTTATGTGGGCCCGGCTTTCCCGGGAGCTAGCTCATGTCTAAAGCTAGTTTTCAAAACAAACTATCTCTATCCATCTCTCTCTGACTATATTCGAAAGATGGAGTGACATCTGAGTGACACTGATTCGTGTTACGAACGTATACCCGAAAGTGACTGCTGACACAGACAGGGTGTTTTGTCTGTGGCAAGTGAGCTGTGAGCTGTGTGTGTGTCCAGAAGGTCGGCCCGCGGGCAGATTTAGAGGCGGTGCGGCGGCCCGCGCCCGGAAGAAAGACAACACGTCGGATGTGGAAGTGGGCAAGCAAAAGAAAGTTAGGATACGGCCGGTTGTCGAGCTGGCCGTCCCTAGGCGCTAGGGCCGTCCCTGCCCGGCCCGGCGTTGCCTGTCCGTATCTGTAAAATTGTCTGTAAAATTCTGTTTGTTCTTCTCGGGAAAGAAAGAAAAGGCGCAAAGAGGGAGGCCGCCTGTCCAGAGCGAACCAACCACATTTTCGTTCGTTTCCGAGAAGAGATCGTTTTTTCTTTCGTTTCCGTGCGCACACAAAGGGTTCATTGTTTGGAATTGAAATCTTCACAAAGAAACTAATGAAGATCGAATTCTTTTTGAGTTTTCCCGCAAGACGGTTTGCGGTCGTCCTTGGCCCCGGGGGGCGCCAGCTTGTTAAGCCCAGCCACTTGCCGTTCGGGCGCTCTGGCAATGCGCTCCCTCTACATGAACTACGCATCGCCGCCACCGCTTGCGCCACCGCCGAGCCACGCGCTCCCACCGCTGCGTCCGCTGTTGCCACTGCTGTCGCTGCCGTCGCCGCCTCAGCAACCGCGGTCACCGTCGCCGCCTCAGCAACCGCCGTCACCGTCGCCGCCTCCGCTGCCCCCTCCGCAGAGAAGCCAGTGCAGCGAGCTATCGCCCATGGTGACATCGATTGCAGAGCAGCGGGTGCGCGCCTACCTACAGCAGTGGGACATGCCGACTGTGCCGATCCTGTCGACAGAGAGCAACACTATCGCCGGCACCACCACCGCCTATCGCTCACACATGGTGCTCACAAACGTTGAGGTTGGCAGCGTCCGGCTGCACGGATGCGAGCAATCAGGCGCCGAGCGAGGGTGGTTGGAGTGGATGGCTGCGAGGCTGCCAGACCCCAGCTCGCTGCTCCACCCACCTGCTGCGAGCCTCCTCTCCCGCTACCTGCCCGATGAGATCAAGATCGAACTCAACGACGTGCAGTTCGCCGGCACCATGCGGTACAGTGTGTCGGAGTTTGGGTTCGGCATCGGGAGCGGTGACGTGGCCTTCTCCGGCGGCGGGGACTTGTGGATTGACGACGTCTCGCTCCGGCTTGAGGCGTTGCAGGGCGGCAGGGGTGGTGCGGGAGGTCCTCTGGGCTGCGGTGGCACCCTCGCCCTCACGCAGTTGAATCTGACGGGCTATTACCACGGCCTGGAGTTCCTCTTTGTCGGTGACGGTGTCATGCGCCCAGACGTGCCAGGGTTCGCGTGCGATGGCTACGAGACTCTCTCCACCGATCCGCTCGAGTCGGGCTGGCGGTGGGATGGCTCGGGCGATCGGCCTCCAGGATTGCGCTCCGAGGTGATGAGCACTTTGAGCGAGGCGTGTCGCAACCCGTCCGTCCTCGAGCGCTTGACAGGCCGCTGCCTCTTTGTCTCCGCATGGCCCGCTGCAGTGCTTCACTCGCCGGCATTGCTCGCGGGACCGCTTTTGTTTGGCGCTCTTGGAGCCTGCTTGTTGACCTACTGCATCTGCTGCTGCCGCCGTCGCCGCCGCACCTCTTTCCGGCGGACAAAGGGCGTTGGCCCGGTGCCAGAAGTGGGTCCTGTCGATGAGTGGGCAGCACCTTTGGCGCTGTCGTTGCGATCGGAGGAGCCCGAGGATGGCTCGCCGCAGGAGGACAGGGCCACCAGGACCGACACAAGGCCAAGCAGCCAGGAGACTTCCCCATCGCGCCGCAGCAGCTGCAGACGATCCTCCGCAGAGGTGTGACTGTATGCGGAGTGAACGACGTGACGTGTAGAGAATGAGCTTTTGACTTTAAAATTCTCTCCACTTTGTTCGTCATTCCCCCCGGCCCACCGTGTACGCTGGGGGGTTTGGCATCTAGGATGCGCACATCATCTTAAGATGGGGGGGTCGCCGCTCTCCACTTTGTGGGGGGAATGACGAACACAAGCTCTCTAAGACGTTCACGCAACCGTCAACCCGACTACTGCTACATGGAGAGCGCGCGGGGCGTGTCCGCACGGCCCCCGCGCCGCGTCTACTTCATACTTCTTGACAAAACACGAGGCCCACAAACGCACGGGCGACATGAGGCGACACGCTTCTAGACGAACAACAGCGCCTGAACCGCAACCCACCCCATGGTGCCGAGGCCAATTGCGGCAGCGATAGCATACGACGCAGCATCGGGCGAGTCGGCGTCGGGCGAGTCGGAGGCAGCGGCGGCGTCGCGTGCCTGCGCACCCGCGCCACCGACACATGCGGCCGCAGAGGCCTTGGGCTTGTGCACTGTGTGTAGGACGCACTTTTCCAGCGAGGCCTTGATGCGCTCCACAAACCCCTGCGCGTCGTCCTCTGTGGCAGCAAGGTACGGGGTACAGTCATCCGATGACTGCTCTGTCGCTTCCTCTGACTGCTCTGGCTCCCTCTCCTCTCCCCCGAGGCTGTCGTTCATATCGTCAGAGTCATCAAGCGTCAAGGTCCCGCCAAGCGGTTTGTCTTTCGGTTGGTCTCGCTTTTTGCGCGTCAAGACGGCACGGGACCGGGAGCGCATGGCCCGGTACGCGCGCACTAGTGGCCGCGGCTTCTGCACGTCCCGCATAGGGCGTGCACAAGGGAGTGGCGATAGGCTCTGTCCTTTGAAATCAGGCGCTTCCAGCGAAACGAACGTCCTTTCTTCGCAATAAGTAAGACTTTGAAGAAGGGTCAGGGCTGTTAAAGAGATGTAGGGCCTTCCTTAGGTCCGCCTCTCACTACTCACACCCGCACTGTCTTGTTTATGGGAGGTTCTTGTTTCTTATCCCCCTATCTGTGAATCGCTCGGACGGGCGCGGGGGCTGTATGTAGGTGGTGTAAGTATAAGGACTCCTACCTACCTATCTATCTATCTATCTCCGGCGGGCAAAGTGTCGGGCACTCGAGGGGGCCAAGCTGTTGGAGAATCGCCGATGGCTAGGCTGGTGGAATCCTCTGGCCCTGCTCTCTTTTCGCCCCTACACTCCTAGCTCATCCCCCCCGCCCATGATGTGTCACTGTGTACGTCATGTCAGTCTTGATAACAAGTACGGTCGATCCGTCAAAACGATACACTCGTCACGATCACGCTGGAGGGATGGCACAGAGCTCTGTGCCGGCACACAGGAAGAGCCGTACGGCAAGAAGAGATCGATGGGGAGCGAGAATCGCCAAAGGTGCTCACGGAGGTGTCGGAAGTCCGCCATGATACGGTCAGTTCCCCCCAGGGTTGATTGCGTAGGTCGCGGAACTCGTTGAGTACTCGTAGCCTTTCTGCGCCTCCGTCTGCATCGCGTCGCAGCTCTGCGGCAAGAGCAGTCTTTTCGGAAGATATCGACGAGAGTCACCCGCTTGGGAGCGGTTGAGCTCGTCACGGAGGAGTTCAGGTTACCCCTGAACCTCCTCTGACGGTTCTCGCTCCCCATCGAGCTCTTCTTGCCGTACGGCTCTTCCTGTGCGTGCCGGCACAGAGCTCCGTGCAAGCCGTCCAGCGTGATATCGTGACGAGTGTATCGCTTTGACGGATCGACCGTACTTGTTATCAAGACTGACATGACGTACACAGTGACACATCAAACGACACATATTCTCCCACCCGCCGGGCCGCAAAACGCTCTCGACGAGAGCCACAAGAAGCCGTCCGCACAGCAAGCCGGTCAGTCACGTTGCTCGGTCGATGCCGGCGAGCGCATGTCGCACGAGGTAGACGGTGGCGTAGCTAACATCACTGACGACGACCGTCCGCTGCGTTAGGCGGCGGCGATCGGTCCCTAACCTGCGGTCCTTCCCTGGGGGGGATCGACGGGCCCCCGGGGGCGACGGGGGTGCTCTCGCGGGGGGTCCCCCAGTCAAGGGGGTCTGGGGCGCAGCCCCAGGAGGCCCGCATTCGCCGATTTTTTGGGGCTTTTTTGACTGATTTTCATGAGGTGTTGCTACTATTTTGGGACCAGTTGAAGCCTAAAAATGGCTACAAATACAGCCACAACAGCTGCTAGTCGTGAGCTGCTACTGTGTGGCAGAGAGAGAGAGGGCTTTCAGGAGCACTATTCAGTTTGATCCAGCTCAGCGTTGCGGAGTAGTAACACTGTTCCGTTACCGTGAGCGGCCGGCGGCCGGCGGCGGCCGGTGCGGCATGCGGAGCACTCCGTGAGCGGTGACGGGTGCGGACGAGCGAATGAGAGGTCCCTTTCAGTGAGAGATAGGCAGTCCTAGTCTCTAATAACACATCTCCCACAGATAGCGACCTCTCATTCGCTCGTCCGCGCCCGTCACTGCTAGCGTCGGGGCACTCCCGGCGTGCGGCCCGGTCCCGGTCGTCACTCCGGTTGCTCGTGTTCACACCGTCAGAACTCAGCTCCGCTATGGATTCAGTGTCTGAGACTTGGGCATCTTGCACAACTTTTGTAGTAGAGCACAATGGCACCCTTGCATCAAGTGCATCACATCGTTACCGGACCGTACCGGAGACCTCCGTTTTCGGCCGCCGCGGCCCGAGAGCACCCCCGTCGCCCCCGGGGGCCCGTCGATCCCCCAGGGGTCCTTCACCGCAATCGGTCCTTCGCCTTCATCCCTAACCAAAAAAAATCTCAAGTTGGGCCCTCGGACTGAACAGAGAGCGGCACCGAGCCGACAGCCAGAAGCGTGTCATTGTAGTGCCGAGGTTGTGCAGTCGTCGAGGAGCTTTTCTTGTTTCTTTTCTCTTCGGCCCCCGACGTGCCAAGAATTCTTCTCACGGCTCGGCCCCCCCTCCCGCCTTTGTTACTCGAGTACTGGTTGCCTCCTCCTGCCCGGCCCCCTCCTCGTGCATCTAGAAGGCGCTGAGTTACGGCCGAAAGGAGGCCCGGATGGCAGGCGTGGGCGCCCAAACCGAAGAAGGCCTGGCGTCTTACCGGCAGTACGAGCAGATCGGTTGCGGTGCCTTCTCCGCTGTCTTCAAGGCGCGGAAGAGGCAGTCGATCGAGGCAGTCGCGCTCCGGCGCGTGCACATGTGCCGCCAGGAGAAGCTGCTAGCGGAGGTGCGAGCGCTCCGCGAGATGTCGCATCCGAACCTGCTCGCTCTCCACGGCTGGTACAAGACGGACAACCACTTTTGGGTGGTCTGTGAGTACTGTCCTGGCGGTGATCTCGCCGCGGTGATCGCGCACGACGGTGCGTACCGAATCGCCCACCTCTCTGTGATTCTGCTCCTCTCACCTCCGCTCCCTCGACCTGCCTCGTAGGCGCCTTGCCTGAGCCAACCATCGTCTCATTTGGGCTCGACGCCCTCGCCGCCGTGGCGCACGTGCACGGCCGCGGCTTCGTTGCCGTCGACCTCGCCCCTCGTTCGTGGATGATCTCCGGCTGTGGCTTGCTCAAGCTCTCCGATCTCGGCGCCTCGCGGCACCTCACAGAGGCGGGCGGCCTTAGAGGCGGGCGAGCCCTCGGCCCTGCACGCCCGCCAACACCCTGCCCGCCTGCAACACCTCAGGCGGCCGCGCCGCCGCCGGATGCGCTCCTGTCGTCGCTCTCGCAGGGCTACCCCGCCTCGTACCTCGCTCCAGAGCTCTTGCGGCAGCGCGAGGCCGAGGAGCCGCCGCCGGTCTTCTCGCACGCCTCCGACTTTTGGTCGCTCGGCACCCTCCTCTACCACTTTGCCACCGGCGCGCCGCCGCCGCACCCGCCTCCGGCCGTGCTGCAGCGGCCGCCCCTCGCCTCGGCGGAGCTCGTCTCGCTGGTGAGCTGGCTGCTCGAGCCGCACCCGCTGCGGCGGCCCCGCTGGGAGGAGCTGCGCACGCACGCGCTCTGGTGCGGCTGCCTCGAGCCACACGCAGTGCCGATCCCGTTCGAGCCCCTCTTCGAGCAGTGGAAGGAGGCGCTGCGATCCGAGAGGAGAGGCTCACTCCTGCGGGGAGAGGCTCACTCCTGCGACTCGCCTCGCGCCGACCCGCCCCGTACGGACCCGCCCGGCCATGACGCCGCGGGGGAGGGGGGCGGCCAGAGTGCCGTGCGGCAGGCTCGCGAGGCGACCTCGCCGACGGAGGGCCCGTCGAGCGGGCGGAGATCGCAGCCCCGATCGCAGCCCCAAGGGTCGCAGCCCCAGCCTTCCGCTGCGGAGACGCGGCGGCAGCGGGCGGCAGGCCGCGACTCCGCAGGCCGCGACTCTGCAGGCCGCGACTCCCCCGCGACCGCCGCCCTCTGCCGCCGGCGCCGTTGCGTGGTCTCCATCTCAGGGGAGGCGCAGGAGCCGACGCCGCCGCTCCCGGTCGAGGGGAAGGAGAAGGAGAACGAGGCTGCACAGGGGCCAGCGGCGGGGGGCTCGCTGAGAGGAGACGGCGGCTGGCCGGCTGCGGGGAGCGCAGCTGTCGCGGCGGCGGAGGAGGCCGCTCGAGCCTCCCTGCCCGCGCGGAGGGAGCTCGAGGCGAGTGCCGTCGCAGAGCGAGCCGCCGCGTGCGCTGCTGCTGCGGCGGATTGCGCCGTGCTCCGCGAGTGCGCGATGGCGGAGGCGCGGGACGCGATGCGCGACGCGGCGCTGCTCGCCTTGCAGCCTTGGGAGTGGGAGGTGCAGCCGATAGCGCTGCACCCCTCCATCGAGCCCCCCTCCGACGAGGCGCTCGAGTCCTTCGACCCGCGCGCATTGCCGTTCACGCCTCATTCCGCCGCGGAGCTGCGGGCAATGGACAGCGCTGGCGTGGAGGCGGCTCTCGGCCCCGTCGCTCGTTCGCTCGGAGGGGCGGGCGTGGGCGCCGCGGAGAAGGCAAACACGCTGCTGTACTGCGAGTCGATTTCCACCGATGCGCGGATGGCAACGGCGTTGCTTAACGGTGCTTTCTCTCCCCCACCCACCCCCAAGCCCCTTCCCCTTCTCTCCTCTCCGCCTCCGCCTCGACACCCGGCCCCTCTCCAGGTGCCATCGGCGCGCTGGCTGCGCGCGAGCTGCGGAGCGCCGGCTCGGCGACTCTGAGGCTGCGGCTCGTCACTCTCCTCGCGCTGCTCCTGCGGAACGCGACCCTCCTCGACGCGGCATTCTGCCACGAGCTGCTGATGCCGAGCCTGATCGCGGCGCTGCAGCAACGGGCAGCCACCGAGCGGGCTGCGAGGGTGCGCCGTCGCGCCGCGGCCGCGCTGGGCGAGGCGGTCTACTATTCCGCCGCCGTGCACCAGGACCACGCTTCCGCCAAGCCCGCCGAGTCGAGTGGCGGCGCCGAGTCGAGTGGCGGCGCATGGGTGGTGCCCGAAGCGGCGCTCGTGGCGCTGGTAGCGGCGCTCCGCGAGGACGACTGGCAGACCGCTGCGTACGCGGCCAAGACGGTGCAGAACGTCCTGCTGCGCTGCACCGCAGCGCACGAGGGGTCAGTCGCGGACGCGCTCTGCTGCGCGCCAGTGCTCGCTGCGCTGATTTCCCTCCTCGCAAGGCGGCGGCCCGCTCCAGTCGCCGCCGCCGCTCGCCGCGCTTCTGCCGCCGCCGCCGCCGCCCACCTCATCCGTTTGCGCCCAAGCTTGGCGCATTCGGTCTTCTCGAGCGGGAACGGCAGCAGCGAGCTCGGCGCGCAGGTCCTTCTCGCGCAGATGCGGGGCGACGCGCCGCAGCCGGCGGCCGCCGCCGCCACCGCGTTCCTGCTCGCCGTCAGCGACGCCGACGCGCGACGCCGCCTCAGCAGTGCGCCGCTTGCGATCCGTCGAGCCGCGCTCCGCTCGTGTGTGTCGCTCGTCCGGCGGCCGCAGCAGCAGCTTCAGTCCAAGGGCTGCCTGGTCGCCGCGCTGCTCTTGCCCCTCGGCGCGCCTTGGTTGCACGTTGCGACAGAGCTCGGGCTATTGCAGGCCCTCGCTGCGATGCCTGATGCGGGGGGGCAAGACGTGGACGCCGCCACGGGCAAATCCGAGCGTGCGGCCAGCTGCGTGTGCCGAGTCGTCCGTTCGATGCTGCCGGCGCTCCTGGCCCGTCTTTACGCCACGGAGCCGCCGCCCGCAACTGCGGCCAGCCGTGACAGCGGCGGCGTTGCGCGGAGTGTTGGGGAGGCGGCCGGCGCTCGTGCGTCGGATTGGGCCGCGCTGAGTGCGGACGAGGCTCTCTCACTGCTGGAGGCATTGCGGGACTGGCAGTCGGTGATCGGGACGGCGGTCGTGTCGGCCTCGCCAGCTCTGCTCTCCTCGCTCGCCGCGCACCTCCACCTCGGCGGGGGCGAGCGCGGCGTTGCGGCGGCGACACGCCTCGCTGAATCGTCCCTCGCCGCCGCCACGCCAGCCGAGGCAGCGGACATCGCCACCAGCGACGCGGTACAGCTCTCAGATCCCCTTCGCCGTGTAGCTCTCCCTCCGCCCTCTCCCCTCACGTGCTCGTGCCACCGCCGATCGATTGCCCGGAAACACGTCGCCGGCAGGCGAGACACGTTGGCGCGAGCGGCTTGCTGGGCGGCCTGCTTCGCACCGTCGCCGCGCGCCCGACGAGCCCTGCCGCCCTCGGCTCGCTTCGCGCCGCGTCGGCTCTCTCCACCTCTCTCCTGCGGCGCGCCTCCGACGGATGCGCCGCCGCCGCGTGGTGCACACTTCGGTGGTGGCTGCTCGCGGCGCCCCTGCTCTTGCGCGCCGGAGCAATTGACGCGACACCCTCTTGTGTCCGTGGCAGGTCGCATCTGCTTCCGGTGCTTCCCTCGCTGCTCCGTCCCGCTGAGGATGGCAGCCCGAACGACGTGGCCCTCGCCTCCCTTCTCGTCCTCTCTGCGGCGCGCCGCTTGGCGCCGCGAGGCCTCTCTCGCACCGCCCCGGCGAGGGACCCTGGAGCGGCGTTGCTGTAGGCGCCGGGAACGCCGCCCGACCTCAGCGACGCGCTCGATCGCCTTCGCCTCGCCGCGCCTCTCTGCGCTGCGCTGCATGCGGGCGTCGCCGCAGCAGCTTCGCCGCCGCTCCCAGTGCAGACGGCAACCATCCTTCGCGGCGTGTCGCAGCGGCCAGCCGCCGCCGTCGATCTCGGCGTGCCTCGGCTGCTCGCGTCGCTGCTCTCTGGCGCGGCAGCTGCGGGCACGCTCGGCGCCAGTCCCGCGACTTGCGAGGCGCTCGGCGTCGCGCTCGACGCCGCGTACCTCCTCCTTGGCCATGGCGTCTCCCTCTGCCGCGCCGCTGTGCGCCGACGTCAAGGCCACGCTTGCGCCGCCTCGGACGCCGAGGCCGAGGCGGAGGGAAGCGCAAGCTGGACCGGGGTCTGCGCCCTCGCCCCCGCCGCATCCGTCGCCGCCGACGACAGCGAGGCGGCGGCGGCCGTGGCGCGCCTTCGTCCGCTGGCCTCTCGTCCGGAGCTGCTTCTCCGTCTCGCAGCCACATCGCTCGCCCCCGCACTGCTTCGCGAGAAGGCGGCCCGCTGCGTCTTGCACCTCGTCCGCTTGCTCGCCCTCTCCGACCCGCGCACCGCCGTCGCTGGTCTGCTCTCCCCGCACCGCGCTTCCGCTCCCGACGATCGGGCGCTTGCTGCAGCGCGACCCGCGGCCGCCCTGCTGGCTGCGGCGCTTGCCGCCAGCCAGCCGTGCGAGGCGAGGCGCTGCCTCCGCCGCGCCACAGACTTGCTGGAGGCGTGCGACGGAGTCGCGTTTCGCGCCGCCGTCGCAGCTTGCCCGGCGCTGGAGGCGGCGCTGTCTGCAGAAGAGTGAGGCGAGTCCATCGCCGCGGAGCTGCAAGCTCCACGCAGCGCCGGGCGGTGTACTAACCGCCTCCCGGTCCATCCTCGGCAATACATAAATAAATAAACCATCAGTAACCAGCCTCCGGCGGGGCCCCCCGCTACCATCCAAACCCGAGTGTATTACAAAGCGCGCCTCCTGCGCGCCTCTCCGAGGCGCTGCGCAGATGGTCTACGAATCATAGAGGCTCAAGATCAAGTGACAAGTCCACACACACACGCGGGACACACCGGTCACCCGCGGGTGCCATCTGCCATACACAAAGCATTACTCTCACGACACGCGGGGATCGGGTGGAGCGGCGGCGGCGGCGGCAGCAGTACGCGCGGACGCCGGACGGACGGATTCGGACGGGGCGGAGCAGCGAC